GTTTGCTACGATTTTGAGCATTTTAAACTTTTTTGCCTTTAAATGAGGATGTTACAAAATTGCTTTCAGTCTGTTATTTTAAGCAATGTTATATATATATATATATATATATATATATATATATATATATATTTTCCCCCAAGAATGTTTTTATGCACCTTGAAAAATTGGCCCAAATAACAAAATGCAACACAGTTTTCTGTCATATTAGAGACTGTCTAGGAATGCTTTAAAAAATTGAAATGTTTATTAAATGTTAAAATGAAAAATAAGTGACATATTAATATGTAATTTTGTATAACACAAAAATTCATTTTAAGATCTGAAGTACCCTGATATATGTAAGGCTACCAATGTTTGTTTGCATTCCCGTGTGGGAATTGAATTTTCATTCCTCTTTCTGTGCTCTTGATGGATTCTGCATGGGCATTTTCATGGTGTTTCCCCATGTGTAAGATAGATATGAGTCACTCTTTCACTGAGGCATTCCTCTTCATAAGCAGATAACCCTCAATTTGATTTACCTTTATCAATTAACCTCATTTGTGTTTTGAGCAAAAGCTTGTAAAATTTTGTAGAATGTTTTTTATGTTGCAAAAGTGGAATACGCCTTGGAAAAAAAAGCAAAAGGTTATTAATTTTAGTCACCTATGATTTCTGTGTTTTTTACGACTGCGTTTTGAGTATGAATTAATATTTCAGAGTAATATTTTTGACGATGCATTGACAAAAATGTATTTGATGCGTTCATGTTTGAATTCTTTACTGCTACTTAATATAAATAGCGAATACTCGAGTTTTAGGCATGAATTTAGGCTTTTTTTGAAATATGACTTCTTTTATGTGGCTCTAAATTTGGCGTCTTATCAATATTTTGGCGAGTTCAAGATTAGTTTGTGTACAAAATTTTTTTATTCATGATTGAGTTTTTTTTCGCCCTCCCTTTTTTTACAAACATAATTATTGGTAAATATAATAAAAATAATGATTGTTTCAAAAGAATAAATGTAATTTAAATAATATTTTAAAATTATATCTAAGAAATAATGTTAAAACATTTTTATTTTATCCTACCACATTTTAAAGTGGCATTACTGTCTATTTTTGCGACTTAGGACTATTTTGATTTTGAAAAATAAACAAAATAAATATGAATCTAAAGCACAGCTTTCAAAAAATTTATAAAAACAAAAATGGTCCTACAATCATTTAAAAATTAATTTCATATTTTTTCACCATGCAATTATTTCAGAATATTTAAATGTAAATCTCTTGAAAATAATTTTTTTCCCGCAAAAATATTCTGGTTTTTTTTTACTGTTACAGAGTTTATACAGATTATATTTTTGTTTGGACTTTAGATCTTGCACCTTGGAAGATTTATAAACTTAAAATTCTAGAAAACTGGGCTGAAATGAAAAACGTCGTCATTGTATTAACACATGATGGCTGTGTTTCGTAGGATATTTGTGAAAATTTTTTGGTACTTTTCCTTTCGCTGGCGCAAATCTCGCCAAACAGACTTTATTGGCGACAACATACAGTATACACATAAAAAATGGTAACAAATGTTAGTTCAAAGAATTTTTTTATTTTGAAGGTATAAAAAGACATAAACAATTTTAATATTGTTTAAAATTTTATAAAAACGAATAAATTTGTAAAAAGACATTAATTTAAGAATATACTATGCTTTCATGGTTCATCATCCTGATTCATCAATTCATATCACGTGCCCCCAAGTGATCTCATTTCCCGTAAACTATGCTACAAAAATCTAATTCTGTCAGTTATTATCCACATTAATTTCAAGTTAAATCTTAATTCAAAATGCAAGAATTACTTCAATTTGTACGAATAGCTTACTCAGAAATTATGTAAAATCACAGTACTTTACTTCACTACTGCATTCTTATTAGAATTGATGCATTTAACCCTTGACTTTGCCTTTGGGTGAGTGGTGTGATTGCATCCCAGTTGCGCCTTTGGGTGAGTGGTGTGATTGCACTCAATTTTAGTTACCATGAATGGCATTAGGGCATAAAATTGAACTATTTGGTAAAAGTCCCATGTAATTGTATTCCAGTATTGAAAGAAACAATCAATCTAATTGGAAATGGCTGCGATTTTGTTTTGGTACTAGGTTATCAGCGAGGATATTCCGTTTGGCATCAGTTGTTACCATTATTGGCAACTTTATTCCCTGTGCCTGCAAAACGGAAAAGAACCAATTTTTTTAATCTTTAATGTATAGAACAGTGAAAAAAATTATTTGAATTTTCTCCTTTTGATTCCAGAAGTCTTTTACTTAATGTTTATGTTCTGTTTCTTATTTTTCCACTAGGCACAAGCATTGAAAGGGGCAAAAAATTGGAAATTGATAGTTTAATAAAAGATTTATCTTATAAATCACTGTGCATTATACACATCTCAGTGCCTGCTCTAAATTCTAAAAATTTTACCAAATTTTACCATACCTAGACTTTGTTGCTCAGTGCTACACTAAATTCTAAAAATTCTCTGCCGCTGGCCCTGACCTCATATTTTATATTTATTCTCAATACTCATATTGATAAAATTAGCAGCTTCTTCTATGTATTCAAAGTACAAGCAGTTTTTTAGAATAACCAAAATCTTTAATTAAAGCTGAAAATTCTAAAATGAAGAGGAAACTCAATGAAGAGAAAATTTTTCTTTAATGATACATTGCTGAAAGATTAACAAATTAGGAGATGAATCAGAGACTAGTGAGAACAGTGATTTGTGTTTTGAAACAAATTAACTTAGAAAAGATGCTAAAAAGAAGAAAATTAATATAAAATAGCTAAAATATCTGGAAAATTTTCAGATTGAAAAGAAAATTTAATTTTTTGTTGCTACAAAACTACAGAATATAAATGTTTTGTTGATTGTAATGTATAATTATGCTAATATCATTTTGGAATCAATATCATAAATTATAACTGCTGTTAAATGTTCTTAATGCTTTTTAAAGGATATTTTTTAGAAATTAAAAAAAAATAATCGTAATTGTAACCATGTAAATCTATTATTAAACATAGCTATTTTGTAACTAACTCCTCACCTTTGAAAGTTATCTCTACTTGTTAAGGCTAGTTTTTGCCTTTTTTTAATCCTTATTATGGATGTAAGATACAAAAAAATGTGCACAAATTAACATAAAGGTTTATTCCTTACAACTAATGAGGCTTAAAGTAATACAAAATAATCTATCACCTTTGGTGTATCAACGGCATTTGTTGAATATTATATATTAACTGAGTTACAACTCCAGCAAATCTACATGCATCTACAACAAAGTGACAGTTAACTTTCGACACTTAGCAACTGTATGAACATGAGGCATTCATGTCTGATCTGATCAACGGCTGTGTCTCTGAGCCAGCACCCATGTAGGTAACAGCTATGCTTTGTTTATGCGTCATGCTGATTATTATTTTACTTCTCAATTTAACCTTTGCCAGGCATAGAATCTGCATAAACCTAGGAGTGAGCGAGTGCATGACGAGACATAAAATAAAGAACCGGTAGAAAGCTTACTGTTAGTAAAGTTTTAATAAAATGCCAGTAAGTTTCTTTAAAATATGTAGGCCTATTATAAGTGTCAGCTATAGATGTTTCAAGAAATTTTATAATTTAATGCTAATTACTTGAAAACATATATGATGTTAATTTTATTCTTGATTTTGTTTTATAATTTAAATATTAGATTTTGTTTTATAATAATGCATCCTAATGGCAGATTTGTTTTATTTTTACATATTACAAAAGTGAAGTTAGGGTGCAGATGATTGCTTTAGTTTATTCATTTTCTATTTGTTGATAGGTCCTTAAATTTTTTTATTGATGGTCCTTAAAAGTACATAATTTCCACATGCAGAAATGTGCATGAACCATGTGTGAATTTATGCATCTAGTGCATCATCTGATGAAAGTGAAGACAAGATGTTTTGTAAGAATTTGGTGACTTTTGAAGTGGTCTTGCGAATATATAAATACAGTCAAAAGTCGTTAATTCGGACACCCATAATCCGGACCTCAAAGCTGCAAACTTACTGCGCATGCGTCGCGCTGACGCATGTGCAGTAAGTTTGCGCATAAGACAATTACGGCTGCAAATATGCGTGTGCGCATGCCCAAAATACGTTTACGCATGCGCGTTTAATGTATAACGGACAGTATAAGCTAAGCTAAAATTATCTAATTCAGTTAATGTTGCAAATTGTGTTGTTCCTTAATCTTCGAATTGGATTCGGCTTATTATTTTTTGCAGACTGTTAGAGCAATTTTATAAAAAAGTAAGCTTGAACTTTTGATTATGTCAAATAGAATTTCTGATACATATTTACTAATAGGCAAAGGATCTACAAAGCGAAAGTATGTTTCAAAGTCCATTAAACAAAAAGTGGAATTGCTGCAAAAAATGGATAAAGGTATATCCTTTGTTTATCTAACCATTCCGAAATCTGTTTATCAATTTCACGCTGCTCTGCGACGGCCGGGATGGGGGGGGGCGAAATGCTGCGGCGCGCAATGAATTGGAAGTGTATCTGTCAGCACTATCCTTACCTTCAGGGCAGATGTTTTTATTTTATTTGGCTTATAATTCCTTACTAAATATAGTATTTCATCTCAATCTACTCCGTCTTTGATATGATTTAAATCAAATTCCTCAACATTATAATTCGCTTCCGATAGCGAAGAAAGTAAAGTAAACAAATAAATATTAAGCTTTTTTTTTGGTAAATTTTGATACCCTTTAGATCATAATTGTTCTTTATTTCATAAATTACGGTTTCATATTTTTAATTTTGTAATTTCTGCATGCCATCTTACCAGATTTAAACTGATGATCTATAATCCGGAAAAATCGATAATCCGGAATCGCGGAAGTCCCGACGAGTCCGGATTAACGACTTTTGACTGTACTGAAAACAGTGCTATTTAAAGAAACTAATTTTAATTACATTTGTTTCTAGAATAAAGAAGCTAAGTTTGATGCTGACAAAAAACTAATGAGCGCTACTCCACGTCGAGAAACATATACTGTTGATTCCCCAATGACTTGTTTATTAGTAAGTATTTTGCATTTAATTTATGTTCTTGCAGATTTTCTTTTTTGTTTTAATGTGAATGTTCCCAGACTAGTTGGGATAACAGGTCGAAATTCATTGTTATTATTCGTAGTTTTCGTATAAAATAATAGACCATCTATTAGTTCGTAATGGGCCGCCCTAATAATAATCATATATATTTTTGAATTCCGAATCCTTGCTCAGTTCAGTTATTAGAGTTTCCCGTTAATGTATTGTGTGTGCTGTGAGCATTGCCACTTTAACACTCTTCCCTTCTTCATCTATTTTTATTCTTTATAGGGCATCTACTGTGACATTTTCCTTTCCTGGCGTGTGTTTAATTATCAAATTATGTTCTTGTAATTTAAGTGCCCATCTTATCCCTTGGGGATACATTTTTCCCTGGGATAAGATGCACTTCCAAAATAGACTCCAAACTTCTGAACTGCTAACAGAACTGCAAGTGCCTTTCTCTCAGTTGCGGAATAATTTCTTTGAGTTTCATTTAAAGTTCGACTAAAAAATGCCACAGGCTGTTGGGAAAGTACCACTCCTACAGCATAATCCGAAGCGTCCGCCGAAATTTCTAAATTTTCGTTGTTCTCAGGAAATTTCAAAACGGGCTTGTGTTAACGCTTGTTTTAACTTTTCAAAAGCAATATTGGCTTTGGCCGTCCACCGAGAATCTGGCCTTTTTCCTTTTCAATTTTAACAGTGGCTCAGCAATACCAGTACCTATAATATGAGCAAAGTCCTAGAAAAGAAGATAGCTTCTTCGCCGTATTTAGCGACGGATAGTTTTGAATTGCAATTATTTTTGATTTATCCATTTCGATTCCTTTCTGAGAAATTTTATACCCCAAATATCGTAATTCAGTGACTGCAAATTTACACTTTTCAACATAAACTTTTAGACCGGTCTCATTTAATAACGAAAACACCTCTCTCAAATCTTTTATATGTTGATCCAAATTATCACTAGTTATAATGATATCATCTGAATAGATAAATGTGCTCTTTCCTATGACAGGTCTTAACACAATGTCCATAACATCGTTGAAATGTTGCCGGACCACTGAAAGGCCAAACGGCATGTGCAAGAATGCATAAGTGCCAGACTTGGTTATAAAAGCGGTCTTACATCTTCAGATTTTACGCCTGTTTGGAAATATCCCGATGTCAAATCTAATGTAGACGTATACTTTGTAGAAGTTACGCACTGTAAAATTTCTTCATTAATAGGTAATAGATATACTGGATATTTAGTAAATTTGCGATAGTCAATTGCAAAACGACACCGTTTTGGGTGTGTAACCGAATAATCGTTTTTCTTGCATAGAACAACTGGGCTTTTATAACTGCTGGTATATATAAAGTTGCTTTCATTACAATCCAGCTCTTATAAATTTAAGCCAGTTTAAAAATTTTTTAAAGGGAAATGCCATGCAGCGAGGGAAGAGGGTAGAAACTCCTGCTTTTTTACATTTCATGATTGGCATCTATGCTTTATTTATTTTTAATTAAGAATGTAAAATTTTAAAGAAGGCCTTTCTGATATTTTGAACACACTTTTTTGAAACACACAGATTTCTGTAGATATAAAATCAGCTACTTATCTTTAAATGTTTAAATGTCTAAATAAGAATTCTTTTTTAATTTTTATATTGGTTATAACTTTATTTTTAAATTTTAGGCTAATAAACAAGAATCGATTATTATGTCAGCATCTCCAGTTCTGAAGGAAATTTCATCTGCTGAAGCCCGTTATATTACAGTTAACAGAGGCTCGGAGCGAAAGTCAAAATGTGTTAGCTTTGTTACTCCATTGAGGAGAAGCCCGAGGATAGCCTCACTTTCTTCACCAAATTATACAAGTGTAAAAGACAGGCCCAAAACTCCTGTTCCTTCGAGAATGTCGTCTGCTAAACGAAAAGTTAATTTTGCAGATATTTCTGATGATAATGCAGATTTAGACAAAAATAAAGGCAGCGGTTTAAGTAAGTGTTTATTTGTAAAATTACATACTTAATAAATTAACACATTTTTTTATGCACTTCATTTAAACTTATTTTCTTGAATTATTGATAACTTAATTAACTGATTTCTCAAGACAATTTGAAAATGACATAAAAAATTGCAAATTTTGAAATTAAATATCCTGGTCAACTTTTGTCATAGGAGAGTCAAACTTCTTATAATTTTGCATTTTCATAACAAGTATAAAACTTTTCCAAATATAAGTATAGGAACTGGAAGATAACATTAAAAGTTAATTTCGTTATTTGTCAGAAATTGATTCTTTTTTTAATTTGAAGTTGCAAAAATGTGAATATTTTCATCATTTGAAACACTCCTGTAATTAGAGATATACGACTATAATGAACAATAGCAAAAATAAAAGCCAAATGTATAGTTTTGGTACTGGCAACTAAGAAAAAGGGGAAGGAACACAGCTAGGTGTTATAGCAGGCCTGAATACAAAATTTCTTCATTCTGCGGCTAATCATTTTTGTGTTATGCAAGATGCATATGTATATACAGACATGACCAGAAAATCCAATTCCCTTCTGAATCCATTTTACAATTTGTTTGGGTAGTTCTTTATTGTGTCCTTATACACGAATGTCGCACAAAAAAATCATCAAAATGGATGCTGTTGTTGAAGTATGATGGCTGAAAATTTTTCATTATTATAATACTTCCTCTGATTTTTTTTTTTTTATTTATTTTTTTTTTTTATTATTGGTTACTGAATAATATTAATAATGCAGTGTAACATTGCTTAATAATTAAGGTTTAAAAGTTGGAAATGGGAGTAAGCAGGAATCAGCATTGTCGTACTACCGGAAAAGGTGAGGAAACTCGAAAGTTGGCCAAAAAAGTCAAGGTTTTAAATATTTTAGCCGAAATCGAGAAAAGTTTGGAAATTTCATACAGCAATCCTCCCCATCCCCAAAAAGTGATTTTTCACACCAGCTTTGGAAGTAGATAACGTTCTTGGTGAATTATGTATCGCATGAGCATCATTCCGGCAGCTGGCATAGAGCCAGTTTTCACAGTGCCAATCCGATTGTCTTTGAGAAAGGTAAAGCAAGTTTCCAGTAATCTCCAGAATTCAGAGAGCATAACTTACATTTTCTTGCAAAGAAAATGCTAAGTACTTAAAATGTTCATAAACCTCTTTTTTTTTTTTTCTTCTCCCCCTGTAGTTGTTGTATGCGTGCTGTGTAATTTATAGTGTTAAATATAAAGCTTTCTTTTTTAATAATAAAATTGAGAATTTGTCTGTATACGTGTCATGCTGCATAGAGTGGGACAGGCCCAGAGATATAAAACTTGGTGCATAGAGCAAGTATGTAGCTTAGAAATAGCAATGGAAAGAAAATTACTTGCTACAAATAGGCCTATTGTTTTGTTTCGTCTAGCTGAAACAGAAATTTTTTTAAAAACAGAATTAACTAACATGATCCTTATGTCAATTTTCTTTGCATACATGGAATTTGGGTCTGATATTATGCATTGTAAATGCGGTCAGTCTGCATTTAACTGTTTGATGTATGCCACATCGGGTTTTTTTTTTTTTTTTAAATTCTTGAAGATGATTTTTGTTCTGTGCCGAGGGGAAATGCAGAATGAATAATTTTCAATGTTCAATTTTGATGAAAATTTAATATTCTTGATTAGTGGTTTTCAAACTGTGTTGTGTGGATCCTGGTGTTCCGCAAATAAAAATAAAAATTCAACGTATGATACATGCCAAAGAGAATGACATGCAGGGCTTTGGAAAACTAAACAGTTTTCGAATGGAAAATTAATTACACTTAGACGACAATGTTAAAAACTATACATAGAGCAGTTTTTCAATTGAAGAAAAATATAAGAGAATATTCCTAGAAGGAAAAACTACGTATAGCTTGATGAAAAAGGTCAGTTCGAATAAATCAGAATGCATGCCGATGACAGAAAGGGCAAACCTTATAAACCTATCGACAGATTCGACACTAAAATCTAAATTTCAGAAAGAGCAGCTCTTGAATTTTTGTTTGTAGACTTACACTAAATACGTAGAAATTTTTCACACAGCTATAAACATTTTAAAGCCATCCGGAACAATGCATTTAAACGAAAAAATTTTCTCAATGTATGTGGCAACAAAATACAGAAACAAATTTAAAGCAGAATATGAAATGCAGCTGCATATAACATCAACAGAACTAGTTTCGATAGTTTATACAAAAAAATGCAAGCATACCCTTGTCATTAAATGCAGTGCTAGGGTAGGTGACACCTGGAGCACGAGTTAATGCAATTAATTGGTAAATTACATTAATTTTATGTTAATATTTTAATAAAGAATACAATACTTTTCTTTAATTACTTTTACTTAAAGTACCTGTAACATGTTGATCTAGTTTAAATATTTTAAGATATATTTTTCTGAGGATAGGATGGGGTTATAAAGAAAAACCTTAAAGTAAAAGCCATGAAAAAGCATTTTAGTACTAGGATTCTGCAAGTCAACAAAGTTTGAATACCACTGTTGTAGATTATATAAATTAAAATATTTATTTCCCGAATGTGCACTGCATAAGGTTCTCATATTTTCTACTACTGTAAATTGTCTTCCTCATTGATACGAACTGTGGGCTAGTTTCCTAAGTCATCTATAACAGTGTTCCTTCCCTCAGACAGATAGTGTCACATTTTTTGCCTTTATTGATTAATCTAAGCCAATCAGTTACAGCAAATATATATTTGACCCACGGAAAAGAAACAACCGCATGATATAGCTTGCTTAAATACTTGTATGGGCTGTGATCTTAGTGAACCATAATGTTTGGAGTTCTGTACACATTTTCAAACATAGAGATAAAACTGATGCTAACAGTCCAGTGGTTAAAGCATGCAAGACATGATTTATTATTGTGTGTTTTGTATTTGCTTTCATATTTTGGGAAGATTTTCAATGTATTTTTTATTTTAAATAAGGTAGCTAAACATTTATTTTATGCTAAAAAGTTCATACAGAGTTGAAATGGTTTTAATATATGTAATATTTTTGTTTATTTCTAATTGTACCCTGGAAACTTTTTAGCAAAATGTAAAAGTTAACTGTTATTACGGAATTAAAGTGTTCTGTTTTACATATTGTTCATTTTAAACGCAATTTTAAAATTTGGGTTAAGAATCTGGGCACTCTTCTGTCAGAAACGGATCCAGATATGTATGTATTCATGCATGCATGTATGGATGTTTGCGTATGCATGTATATATTGTAGGCAGGAATGTATGTGTATACATATGCACATATATGCACATGTAATCGTAAATGCAGTCAGTCGACATTTAGCTGTTCGATGTATGCCACATACTTTTTGTGATTTTTTTTTTTTAATTATTATTATTATTATTATTGAAGATGATTTTTATTATGTGTTGAGGGGAGTGCAAAATAAATAATTTCAATGTTTAATTTTGTTGAAAATTTTAAGACATGCGCATACATTTATGAATCCAGTCATGATAGCAGAACAGTAACACAATACTGAAAATCGTAGAGGCTTTATCTGATGTAATCACTTCCTTAATGAATGAATTATGAGTGAAAATTAAAACAGGATATGTAATAAATATGCATTCTTAACATATGTTTTTGTTCTTTAAGGACCTAAAGTTAAACGGCCATCAACTCCTATGCCGAAGAGAAGAAAGACTGTAGACGGTTCAGGTATTAAATATTTCTTTTAATAATTACTGACTGCCAGTTATTTACAGTTAACATAAATTTTGGTTAAGGCTTATAAAGTACTTGTCGGTGCAATATTTGTTTAAAAAATTTATGTAAGATTATCATTGCTTACGTAGTTTACATCAAATTTGAATTCAGTATTGATATTTTTTTAGAGCTTATTGAATGAAAATGGGGGATACATTAATTTATTATTTAAAGTTGTAAAAATATTTTTTATTGGACATGCAAAAGAAATTAACTGGTTCCCCCCTTTTATTTATGTTTGAAAGGATAAAAATTTTCTTTATATCATTTTTGCTTGCAACATGATATAGTAATAACATAATAGGTTTATGGCTCCATAATTAGCAGAATGTGTCTCTAAATCATTATACTTAAAAAATGTACTTAGTTGATGTAACAAAAATTAGCCTGTTTTGGAGTAGAATAAAATGATGAAAGAATTAAAATATATTTTTCTATAAACAGTTTGTGGGATTAATGATAAGAACTGAAACTGCTTTTTGTCTCTTTTTGTTATGTAGTGTGACTCTTAACAAATTTAAAATCTAATAATCTCCTTACAAATACCAAGATTAATTTCCAAAGACTCGGATTAATCATTAAAATATTTTATAGTGTTTTGGTTCTTAGTGCTCCATTTGGGTCAAATAATTTCATTATAGTGAATGAAGCAAGTAAATTACTTAAATAAAAAGGAGCTTTTAGATTTTATATTATGCCCAAAGGGACATTTTTTCAATGTTTTATCTCTTACCTTTATTTATTAAATATCATGTTCTTCGCACTTAAGCCATAAAATTCAGTTGAACAGCAATATCACAAAATCTTTAAAAGAACATATCTCTAGAATTTCCAATACATAATCTTGCACACTGGAGATAATCCCCCCCCCCGTACAGTGTAGCTATTGCTTGCTTTGAAATCGCTGAGTTTGTTAATAGAAAATTCGTTAAAGGTTTACAAAATATGAAATTGATAATAAAATTCCAAATACTGAAGTACAGTTGATTAATATACCTGAAATATTTCTCCCAGATGATCCATGTGTTAAAATGCTGTACCATTAAATGGAATTTACAAATGATTAATACTTGGAAATGTTAGTTATTGCAGGCAGTAAGGCAATAAGTAATAAGTAGGCTAGTAAGGCAATAAGAATCAGTGCAATGTTCGTGAATTGGCAAGATTAATTTCAAACTTTTAAATATAAATCCTTCTTCAGGTGTAGAATTGCATATAATGAAAGAGAAACCTATGCTCATGCAGTAACAATAAAAGGAAGACCCCATTCTGGATATGAACTCATGTGGTATACAGGTTCCTTTCTAGTGCTGTGTGATTTATATTGGTACTAAGAAAGCCTTAAAATTTCATCGTATGTTAGGAAAAACGATACAAATCCTCAGATGTCCAACAATAAATCTCATTTTCTATTTTTGTGCAGCCAAAATTATTCAAAAGGCATCTTCTGTTGGCAAATTAGGTTTTCTAGAAGCATTTCACTTTTATAAAAATCGTTCAATTCTTGTTAATGATCCTAGTTCTAGTCAGTCTTTACCTTCAATTTTTAAGAAAATTATTTCATAGCTTTCATTTTTCATCAATAGATGGCACCAGTAGCTTGACTTCTTCCACTCATTATTATCGTCTGAACACAGGTTTGCTTTTCAGCATTTGCATCTGCAGCAGTAGAAGTTGATCCCATATTTAAACCGTAGAAACTAGTCCTGCGAATTAATGAATATCACACTGATTCTTGTTAGCTTAGCACCTCCAATAATCATTATTTGATATGTTATTTTAACTCAGATGAAAATGATAGTGCAGAGAATGATGAATATAGGAATAAATAATTTTATTTATGTATAATTTCATTCCAGACCAAAAGTGCACATGTAGGAAAAAGAGATTGCAGATCTATAATTTCATTATAACTGTGAAATAACTGAAGAAAACTTTATACATATTCACAAACTAGAAACCAATCTTTTTGCAATACTTAAATTAAAAATATTGCAGAGAAGCTGATAGTTATTGATCAGGTTTGATAAAATAGAACAGTCAGATTGAAAATTATAGCTTGGGTTTCTTTGGGGCAATGATTGAGGTTAAGAGAGCGGATTAATATTTGGGATTTCTTGCAATAACTAAAATGCTTCTTTATCATTTATAATTCATTACCTTTACAAGTTCTTAATTCTGTATTCTTATTTAACTCATTAGCTATCGATATGACTTAATTTCTAAAATTAAAAGTGCTGGAGCCATTTGGAAATATGAACAAAAATAAATAAATAAAATAACTGATACAATAATTAATGATTCAAATTAAAATTCAACAAAATATAAAGATATAAGGGGAAAATATTAAATTGATGATAAATGGTTCAATAATAATAATGAACTGAGTCTTATTTGGAATTCTGGCTAGAATTAGATTTTACTCAAAAACTATAAGCTGGGTTCCAGCTGAATTTAAGCTGTGAATGTATAGTATAATTTATTTTAAGATATAATAGAAAGAAAGGCCATTCTCCTTTTGATAAACCAATTAAGAAAAGAGAGGTAAACCAGTTAAAGTATTACTTATGAGAATAGAAAGAATACTAGGAATAATATGAAAGTATGGAAGAAAATTTTAAGGGAGATGTGTAGGCATGAAAACAGAGAAGAGCCAGCACTTCTTGGTCACAATCCGTTACCATTATAATTCTAGCTGTCAAGCAAAATGTGAAAGGAAACAATTTCCCTTGAATCTGAAAATTAATATTCAAATTGAGAACAAATGTAAGGTTCTGTAGAAGTGACAACTTTCGTTCCACATATTTGGTTGCATCATTTTAAAAAGTCTCCAAGTTCCCTTTCCCATGGAAAGTCACTAGCACTGGACTTCCATGACCATGGTATCACTTCTGACACTTTCAGAAACAGTTTACCCAATGTTGTAAATTCATTGCACTTCCTGGAGAGTAAGCCTTTAACATATGGGCAGGGCCTTTTTTTCTTAAATGTTTAGCCTCCATTAAACGGTTTGTTTCTCAGTGAAAGACTAGCATGCATTCAGAAGTTAGAAACAATTTTTAAGACTTGCATCTGATTAAAATAAAATTTTCATGATCAAGAGAGTTTTCTGCTGAAGTTGTGGTTCAGTTATATGAGAGAAGTGCCAGAGCTCTTTTACTTAGGGTTCTGGTGCTCTGTGGCTAGAATTACGATTTATTTGAAAGATTGAGAAATACTGAAACTGGCCTCTGGTGCAATTTAAATTCTCGCTCTCAAGGAATGCAAGAAAACATGCATTTCACTTGTATTTCCAAGAATGGTGAACTGCAAATGTATGAACCTCATCAGCTTCAGGATTTGATAAGTTATCTTTTGAAGACTCCAAGACATCATGGGGGGTGGAATAAATTTTAATTAAAATACACTCTCATTTTATATGAAAAACAGGGTGTTTCAGCAAATCAGTTACAAACTTTCAGGAGAGATAGAATGCACCTTGGCGATGGAAAATCACATAACAGTGCATGATCAAAAGGCTTTCCTTGTGCAATAGTAACACCACAAAACACAAGAAAAGAAAAACATTAACAGCATGAAGAAACATGTTTATTATGCTTAGTACAGTGGAAATCAAGAATAGAAACAAAAATAGACCATGATTGTCACTTAAAGGTGTTTGAAATTATGACCCCAACCCTGATGCGGGCCTCACATCTCCAGAAGATCTGATGTTCTGGAAAACATCTGGCATGTCCTGGACTTCCCCAACAGCTGCTACGATGCGTGCAACAAGTTCCTCAGCACTTCTAATGGGAGTTCTGTACAACAATGTCTTGACGTACCCTTAAAGGACATAATCAATGTAAGCGAGGTCTGCCAATCTTAAGAGGTTATCACATATGGCTACAGTTCATGCTAGATGGGACTTTTCTGAGAAATGAGTTTCTGGTAGCACTAGTTTAAACGGGAGGATTCTTAGAAATAAGAGCCTAGATAGAAGCAAAGTCCGACCTAGCTACGGAAACAACGTTGCGGCTACGTGGGATTATTTCAAATCTCACTGAAAATATCTCGGCTGAAGCTCGGAGACAACCAATCAGATGAAAGTTCGGCTTCTGAAGGATCACGTGATCCCAGTCTGAGCGATAATTGATTACTGTTTGGTGTTCAAGTCTTTGTAGTGAATGAAAATTGTAACCTAGCTACATGGGTTTCCTGGAATTTTGTCTCTTTCAACATCACATCCCTTATGGTCAAAACATAATGTGATTGGGACTTTACTGGCCAATGCACCAGACAACACCTGCCAATTCTATGTTGAGGGTATGTTTTGATTGATGATAATCATCTGTTTTTGTTCTTATTTCTTACTTTCCATTGCAATAAGCATAAACATTTATTCTTACTCTGTTTGTGTCCTTCCTTTCTTATGTTTCATGTTGTCACTACCATGCCAGGAAAGTGTTTACGACCATGCATTGCTCTGTTTTTCCATCGTCTAGGTGTACTCTATCTTTTCTGAAAGTTTGTAACTGATTTGCTGAAACACCCTGTATATAATTTTTAGTTTTAAATTCCATTAAACTCCTGCAAAGAGGATTAAATTTAATTTTTTATCATCAGATTCTATCTGTAAGTCTGCTTTTCTTCTGTATTGCCAGATCTGTGTTATCTTCATGTTGCTAGGTAGGTTTTGAATTTTCCTTAAGTCGAAAAGAATGCAAGTAATATATTCTTCTATGGATATTGGTGGTTTCAAACTAGTTAAATCTGTCACAAATATTTGAAATTAAATTTTTTAATGTTATCTCTCAGTCATATTAATATTTGGATTATTCATAAAAATTGCTAATCTATTTTTTATTGCATTTTCTTTGTACAACTGGCAACAGTATTAATTAACTTAGAATTAACTTTTAGATTTTACTAAAGATTTAACACCTAACTCGGGGTCAACTGTGAAAATGGCAATTGCACAACAAAAAACTCCTAGTAAGTTCTTTTTTTTTTTTTTTTTTCTTCCCCACTTGTTCTAATTTTCTTCTCAGTTCCACTTGCTTTCTGAAAATATTATTAATATATGCCTAGCATTGTGAATATTGTCTGCTAATCATATTAATTTACTTGAATTCCATAGCAGTTGCTTATGTAACTTTTACTGAAGCTTATTTGTACAATTAATAATAAGTAACTTTTAGAAATTATTGAACAATTAACATCAACAAGTGTAACAAACAACATCAACTGAGAAATAATTGTAGAGAAAACTTTTACTGAGAATATGAAAGCAAAAACACCAAATTAAAAATAAAAAGAAAGAACTCTTACTTCTGTTCTGTTTTCCTCTCGGACTGCAAATACTGTTCTACGAAAATATAAATATAGAAATTTAAGGTATTTTCTCCCTCTTTCTAGCATGCCTTCGAGGTGTAATGGTAGCACACTTGGCGTGTGTTCGAGAGGTCTAGATTCAAGTCCCGGTGAGGACATTGCTCATTTTTCACATCTGCATAAAAAAAATCCTAACGACTTTATAATAGCTCTCGAAATAAAAAGTAGTGAAGAATAATTCATCACCACCAGAATTTTGTGATTGTGTCCCCTAATCCTCAAGTCACTTTTTAAAAGGGAGATTATATAAGATATTTTCTCCCCCTTTCCAGCATGCCTTGGTGGTGTGACTTTGGTATATTCGATGCATATTTGAGAGGTCCAGTTTCAAGTTCTGGCGAGGGGTATTGCTCATTTTTCATGTCTCCTGCATAAAAAAAATCCTAATGACTCTACAGAAAATTTAATTAAAACTGTTTGAAAGTAGATATTCCATTTAAATTTTATACGAAAGTGTTACGTTTGTCAATGAAAGAACTTCTTGATTAAACTTTAATATTACAATGAATATATGTTAAAGGAAAGTATTTGGAATATTTGTAAACATAAAGAAAACATTTTAAAAATGAACCCAAAGTTATCGGCAAATGTATGATTTTGCAATCCCATCCTTTTTGGGAGGAGCAGCTATTATTTGGGCATTGAGTGAGAATGAAATATTATTTATCTGACTTTCATATAAGACTTTTTTGTTAATTTTTTTTTTCATTTGTTTTGTTTACCAATACTGATTTTGGAATTTGGGAAAAAAGACTTCAGTTGCTTTCTTAATACTTTTCCCCATTTTGTTAGTTGTGTAATTATTTTGTTATTTCTACTTTGAAGCTGATTATTGTTAAAATTTCATTTTCCAGGGGGGGGGGAAGTATGGGAAGATAATTGAGCAAATTGATAAAATATGACTATTGGAGTTAAACATTCAGTTTTTTGTAATACATAAAAGCATTTAATAGATTGAAGAGAAATAAAAAGCTGGAAATTTTCTGAAAAAATTTGTTTATATTTACCTTAAAAATACTTGTTTTATTTAAAATTTCAGAATGTGCTATTTTTTATAAATGCCTTAAATGTTTAATTAATATTAAGTCTGAAAGAGTTCTGTAGTTGTTATTATTATTACTAAGGATTTAAATTTTGAATTTTAATAATGCTACAGTTTGTATTAATTCAGTGTATCAAAATATTTGTCTGAGAACAACTTTTACGAAGTGTCAGCTGAATTTATATTCATAGAACCAATTACAAGTTAAAGCTTAGTTTGTGATGTATGGAATATATGGCTTTGCTGGAAGAGCTAGAACAATTAGTTTTTTTCATTTTGTAAATTTCTTGTATTATTTTCTTTTTAAAAGGCTCTATTAAACAAGAAGATGCTGTATCACCTTCAAAATCTGGAAGTCATAAGAAAGTAATTCTGAAAATGACTGAAAGTAAGTGTTTTTCAGAAGCATCTGTAGAAACTTAATTATTTTCCAAAATTGTAATAGTGTCTCACATCCAGAACTGATACATTACTAAACTAACTGGCCTACCAGCAGCCGAGTGTAAAATTGCTGAACATTGATAGTTCCAACAAGGTTTCATTTCTAGGTGAACAGGCTGGCTATATGAATGTTTCATGTTTTTCCTCATGTGTATGTGCCAGTTTTCCTTAGAAAACACTCCACAAAGGCATTACTCCTCTGAGGCAGATAGCCGTATTCTGCTTTGCCATAATCAATTAAAACTGAAACCAAACCTAATTAACTGTGATAACTGTATGTTATGATTCATTATTTGTGTAATTTACATGACCGAGTTTCTACTGAAGTTCAGTTTTTGATTTCCCTGACTTAGCCTGATTTTCTATGACTAAATGGAGTGTTTTTTCTAGGATGATTAATAGTAAAGAATGAATTATCACATTAAAAAAGAATAACTAAATATTTTTATGGATTTATATAAAAATAACAGTTAAATATGTAGCAATGTTATTAAAATATAACTTGTTATTGTGAAGCAAATGAATAAATAAATATAGGAAACATTCATCTAAACAAGGATTGCTTTAACTTTTTGGTGTGGAAATCTCATAATATTTGCAAAAACTCATGATGGCTCTCTTTTTGTGCTTTCCAATAAATGAAGAGGGACTTACCTTTGTTTTGAAAGCCGTGATATCAAACAGAGAGCATTTGGTCATACTTAAAAATCAGTCTCTTCTACAATGTACACAAGTACTTACACCTAGCTTGATATGATCACCTGTGTAAATCCTGTACACAAATTTCACAGATTTAACCCTTTCAGGACGGGCGTCCCATATACGCATTTCCTAAGAACGTTTCTTACAGCCGGGCGTCCCACCCATGCATCAGTAAAGATTGCATTCAGAGGACGGGTGATGCGTATATGCATTTTAAGGTGGAACGTTTTTCTGAAAGCCACTAGATGGCATCCTGTGTCCATTACTTTTGAAATGAACACAGTTTTAGGTTCCTGACCTTGAGTTTGATATATTCTGCTTGACTTTGGCATTTTACTCATCAGCTGTTTGAGGGTGGGGGGGAAAGCATAAACAGAGGTGGGCTCTTTAAATCGCTGCGTGTTAATGAAAACATTCTCATATCTGATTTATATCCAATTCCTTTTTTTATTCTATTTTTTCCTCTAATATGTACGGTCTTTTAGGGTTACTGTGCGGAGTTCTTTTACTTTTTGCATTGCCTTCAGATATATTTCCGTTCCTTCTTTTTTTATTTAGGAAAGCCTCACCCTCCAGTCTATTATGGCGGGAAGGTGCTATTTATCAGAGGAAGAATACCCTAGTATGGTTAGTGAACCATTTACTAACGCAAATAAGACTACTGATTCATTATCTAAAGAGTTAAAAAGTGATACTTTTTCTAAGAGTTACAAAGTGATAACCTCTCTGTGCTTCGAGATTTACCACACTCGTTTTCATTTAAAATTTTTTTTACTCCTTACTGTAAATAGTCTTTATTGTGTTCTTTTTATTAATTTTAAACTTTATTGATGGATTTTTATCAATTAAAACTTTGGAATAATTTGAATAGCGCTTCCGAAAATTATTTTAGAAGATAAGCAATTTTTTAAGTATATTTTCATGTAAAATAAAGAAAAAATGTTTTAAGGGCTAATTTTAACATATATAAGAGCTCAAGTAATAATCTAAAATACCAAAAATTACGATGCTAGAAGCGAAACTTTTGTTTTTCTGATTTTTTAAATAAAAATTAGGCTTAGCGATGCAAAACCTCCGTCCTGTATGGTGACTGCCTTCGATTCTGTTCCGTCCTGCACGAGCGTCTTAAACAAAGGTGCGCCATCGCGAAAAGGTTAAAGCATGACTGTTTGGCATATCATGATTTCCAGTGCTGATGTATTCGCCATTTTGCAGCACCTCATAACTTACAATCTTGTGCTTTGTTCCATCACCTTGTGCTTCAATTTGCGTCTACAGGCATCTCCACTTTATCCATCTCATTGCCACATAATTCTCCAGCTTTCTTTTGGTGCAACACTTAACTAATATATTCACCTGCCATTCTCCGCAGGTTATTCATTTTTTTTCCCCTTCGATACCATAGTATTACATCGTGAGTAAATTCAGTCGACTGCAACATTGTGACTCCTCCTCTGATTGATTCTCTTCATCTGATTGAGGTATGTTTGTGTATTAAAACTCTCAGCAACTGCTGCAGTATTCCTATGTACATGTTTATTAATTCACGCATAATTAAACAAACAAAAAAAAAATAACCACTATACATTGTTATTAACATTGTATTGAAATGTCTCCCCCCCCAACCAGTGCTCTGCATATGCACAGCAGACTCTTCCTCGGTAATTCTTTTTCTGCCTTGCATCTTCCCTCGACTATCCAGTCCTGACTGGTTTTCTAAGGTATTTTCATCATTTTTTTCCGCAAGTTCTTTCTCCTCTTCGTAGAAACAAATTCTTGAAAAGTGTCCTCAGAAAGGGAACTTTACAGTATTCTTGCATATGTAAGCCACACCTTTAATTTTTGTCTCCTAAGTTTTTTTTTGGGGGGGGGGAGCTGTGAGTTCTCAATAAGCTGCAGGTAGCCTGTCTACCATCTACAATATTTTTTCTGTTTTAAGTGGTGAAAGCAGCTAAAATGAAAACTGTATTTACCATGCACTGAGACAAAATTTTTATTATCAGTCAAAAGGAACATGTTTCTGTATTTAGTATGTATCAGTTTTATGTTCGGCTGTGCCGGCTGCCAGATGACGTTTTGCTGTTTTCATAAAAAATGCCGGCATGACCAGCAAACTCGCACACATTGCCCTTATCTTGAGTGCAAGGATTGTTTGTGTATGTGGGTAGTTTTCCCGTTTTAAGGAATAGTTGTGTTTTAGAGATGTGGAGCCATGTCTTTTAAGAATATTCATCGATCCATATACTTCGTGCCTAAAATGGTGACCCATCTACACGCATGAAGCTTCAGAAGTTTGGTTTTCAGGTCTTTCGTTTTCTTCGCTACAGTGACTGCCATGGAAGAAACAGCAGCCATGATGGTACTGATTTACTATCCTATTGACTCTGCATTGTGGTTTGCTATGTGAGAATCAACTTTTGCTTTATTTGCATCAAAGCCTGTTATGGATACCAAGATGAAACTTAACTGTTGCATCACTCATTTGCCGGTAGAGAATGCTTCTTTGGTTTGAGATATCATACTTCAGGAATGCACAGATTCTTCTTAAAAAGACCTGAAAGCTACCGTTACGGAGCGTTGGGTGAAAAAGCGACCTAGGAAATCTGGAAATTACTCTCTGGGGAGCAATTTGGAGATGGAAAAACACCCGAATTGCTTCGCATTATAAAAGGTAGTGCGGAAAAACATGATATATCAGACTCATTGTTACTGGAGTTGTTTATTCAGCAAATGCCGTCAAATGATCAATCTATTCTCGTGTCGGTTGAGCCTCTCGATTCTTTGAAAGCTGCCAGCATTGCCAATCGAATACTGGAAATTACACCCGCTCAGGTAAGCGCAGTTTCTTCATTTGTATCAATGAATGTGTTTAAGAATTTTAAATTGGATTTCCTACTGGGTAAGGTATTGTCTCTCTGATGATCATGCACTGTTTCCAAAAATCGCTTTAACAGAAAGCCCTTCAGCTAGAGCTCCTTTGAATTTTTCCTTTTGCTTCTATCATTGCAAATTTAATTATAAAGTCAAAAAGTGTGTTCTTCCATATATGTTCCAGGGAAAGTGTAATGGTGATTTGCGCTTTACCCTCAGAGCCTCTTCGCTTTTTTATTAGAGACAAAAAGTCAAATAAAATGTTTCTGTGTGACGCTGGCTCAGATGTCAGTCTCCTCTCAGCAACCAAAGACAAAATGGGCCAGACACCTGTTGTGATGTTTTCTACTGCCAACAGTACTCCAGTTCTGGTTTACAGACAATATAACTTTGTCTTGACCTCGGTCTTCGTTACAATTTTAATTTTGCTTTTTATGTGTGTAAAGTGTCAATGAATATTATTGGATCTGATTTTTTGCATTATTTTGATTTACTATTGATAAGGAACAGAAAGCTTATTGATTTAAAAACTCATTTAAAAATTAATTTTAGTGTAATTAACACACATTTGTATTCTATCAAAGCAATTATTGCAAAAAGTGTGTATGATAAATTACTGTCTAACTATCCTTCACTGTTGAAGCTTCCTGATCTTGATGAAACTATTCAGTATGATGCTATTCATTTCATTGAAACTGTAGGTCCTCCTGTTTCATGTAAGCCTAGGAGATTAGCTCCAGATAAATTAAAAATTGCTCAGAATGAAATCCAAGAGTGATCAGTTTAGTTCACATGCGACCCTCCAAAAGTAATTACTCCTTTTTTTTTTACGCATGTTGTCAAAGAAAGGCACAAACAAATTGAGACATGTGGGAGATTTTTGGACGTTAAATGCTCAGACAGTAAGGGATAAGTATTCTATTCCCAACATTTGTGATTTTGCAGTGAAGTTATATGGAGCAAAGATATTTTCTCGAATAGACTTGGTAAAAGCCTATCATCAGATTCCAATTAATCCATCTGACATTCATAAAATGGCTATTCCCATTCCTTTTGGACTTTCTGAGAGCACAAGAATGCAATTTGGGCTATGGAATGCAGCTGCAACCTTTTAGTGGTTTATTGATGAAGCAATTCATGAGTTGCCAGGAGTATTAGCTTTTGTTGACAATATACTGATTGCTTCAAAGGACAAAACTGAGCGTTTGATACATTTGAAAGATTAAGTAATTATGGGTTAAGAATTAATGTATCTAAATGCAATTCTGGTGTAATACCTTTGGAGTTTTTAAGTTTTCATGCATCTGAACGGGGGTTTAAAACTTTTACCCGACAGAGTGGAAGCCATTCAAAAAATTTTCTAAACCAAAAACT